AATCACATGTGGGGCTAATTGAAAGGCGGAGGGATAAATGGGTGGTGAGCCTCGCCTTTCTAGTTCTCGAGCCTCTTGCTTTGTGATGGTCACACCAGGGTGCAGCTGCCTTAGCAGTTCCCTGCTTCAGCTTGCAAGATTGACTTCCTACAAGACATCCCCAAAGAGAAGCCACATGGACCTATCCCGATGCAGCCCTGGGTGCTGGAGCAGCCGTGTGGAGACCCCTGCTAGTGTTGAGATGCTTGTTCGTTCACTGACTCAGCCTTCCCCCTGCAGTCGGCATCATCGCCTCTGTTTTGTGAGGCGGAGGATTTTGTGGACTGGTGTTGGGTTAATGGGTTAATGTTGGACTTGTGGGCTTGGGCAGCATTGGGTTGGGATATTTTCGTGATGCACACTTTCTTTACATAAAATTCTCTTATACATGAGTTGCTGTGGATTTGTTTCTCTAAAGTACCTAGACTAATACAACCCTTTGATACAATTCCTCATGTTGTGGTGACCCCCAACCATAAAATTAGTTTCATTGCTACTTAATAATTGTAATTTTGCTACTGTTATGAATCGGGTGACCCCTGTGAAAGTGTTGTTCGACCCCCCCAAAGGGGTTGCGACCCACAGGTTGAGAACTGCTGCTTTAAGTGCAGCTTGACCTTTGTGCTTCGGCAACACCGGTTCTTGCTTACGTACTACCTCCTGAAATGCTGGAATGCATACCAGTTCTCTTTGGTACAGGAACTCTGTGTATTCTTTCTGTCTTCTTTTGATGATTCCAGCATTGTGCAATATTTTGCCCAGAGAATTTTTTAATATTGCAACTAGCAACTTGAAATTTTCCTTGAGTTCTTTCAGTTTAAGGTATGCTGAGCTTGTTCTTCCTTTTTGGTTTTCTACGTCTTTGCACATTTCATTATAGTACTTTACTTTGTCTTCTCAAACTGTCCTTTGAAACTCATTCATTCATTCATTCATTGGAGCAGATGACTTTTTAATCAGTGAATTTATCCATAGTTTGAAACAACACGGGGAACTTTTGGGGGTCACAGTAATCAGTGACTCGGGTATCTCTAGATCTGTAACATATGCCCATTACCAGCCCTATCCATGCACTCAGGCTAAGTACACACCCTCCCTTCCACTCAGAATGCTTCTCTAGAGGAGTCCATGAGAAGTTAATTATTGTGATGTCTGCTCCTTGTGCCTTTCTCACTTTATCCTCAATCCTCTTGTAGCACAGGATGCACAAAAGTAGGAAGGAAGTGGTGCTCACTTCGGAAGCACATATACTAAAAAAGTAGCAAGGAAGTGTCCAACATGGACAAGAAGACAAAATCAGAGTTAAGGGCAAATGCTTAACAACCATGTTCAAACACAAGACGTTGGATGAAGAGTTTTAGGCACAAGGAGCCAAATATTCCACATTCTTGGGGAAATCTCACTTAACTTCTCATCCTGGTGAATTTTACTTTGCTGCCACAACGATGTGGAAATATACTTTTAGGTGTTGCTAAAAGATTTTCGTTAGAAAGCTTTTAGAAACACACCCATGAGCGCGCGCGCACGCGCGCGCGCGCGCGCACACACACACACACACACACACACACACACTGCCCCTGAGCAAGGAGCCAGGTGTCAGTTTCCAAGGTCGGTGGGTGGGGGTGGGGTGGGGGCACGTTCTCACGCGGGTACAGTAAGGCCAAGTCTGTCCACTTCATTTCTTGTTCATTAGTGGTTTCTGTGGTGCCACCATTGTCTTGCTCAGGTTAAGGAAGCTTGTTCAGAGGTATTACGACGCCTTCATAAGGCAGCTTGTCTTCACACCAAGCGTCTTCAATCAAGTCCAAGATCCTTCTATCTCTCTGCCCCTCACTGCCCATCCTATCAGATCAGCTCCCGGCCCACTGCTTCTGCCGAGCCACACCCTCTAAATTCCCTTTGAAATTTTTTATTCAATTCTTTGACTTCATCTTTTTTTTTTTTCATTTTCTTTAGCTACTCTATTATTCAAGAAAATTTCAGAGTTTCTTCTGACATCCACTTTGATCTTTTCTTTCTTTCCTGTCTTTTTCATGACCTTTTGCTTTCTTCATGAATGATGTCCTTCCTTCCATGAACTCTCACAGTTCATCAGATCTTCTGTCCTAAGTGTTCGATGTGTCAAAGCTGTTCTTGAGATGTTCTCAAAATTCAGGTGGAATGGACTCAACGTTGGGTTTTGGCTCTTCTGAACTTATTTCAATTTTCCTCAGCTTCAACCTGAACTGAATAGGAGCAATTGATGGCTTGTTCCACAGTTGGTCCCTGGTCTGTTTTTGACTGCTGATATTGAGCTTCTCCGCTGTGTCTGCCAACAGATGGAGTGAGTTTGATTTCTATGTATTCTATCTGGAGTAGTTCATGTGTGTAGTCACCTTTTATGGTTGTTGTTGTTTTTTTAAGTATTTGCTATGAAAAAGTCATTGGTCTTACAAAATTCTTTCATGCAATCTCCAGCTTCACTTCTATCACCAAGCCCAGGTTTTCCATTTACAAGAGTTTAATTCCAACTCTTGCATTCCAATCACTAACAATTATCAATGCATCTTGATTGCATGTTAGATCAATTTCTGACTGAAGAGGTTGTTAGGATTCTTCAGTTTCTTCATCATTAGCTTTTGTCGTTGGTGCATAAACAGGATTGTACTTCAAGACTGATTTTGCTATGCCCTTTTGACAGTGAATGCCCATCATTCCTCTTGATTGTGTAGTTCCTGGCATAGTACATCATATAATTTTTTTGACTTAAAATGGCCAATACCAGTTCATTTCAGCTTACTAATGCCTAGGATATAGATCTTTATGTATTCCATTTCATTTTAACAACTTCCAATTTTCCTAGATTTATACAGTGCTCATTCCATGTTCCAATCATTAGCAAATTTTTGCAGCTCTCTCATCTTACCTTAAGTCATGCCTCATCAGCAAATAAAGATCCCTTAGGCTCCACTCTCACAGACTTGACCCAACTCAAGTCACCATGGTTGACTTCACTCCAAGAAATCAGTTCTTCCTCAGGCACATTTTTGAGCACCCGCTGACCCAAGGGGCTGATCCTCTGGTACTACCTCTGACAAGTTCTGCTTCCATTTATTATGCCTTCAGCATCTGACAATGTTTCAATTCTCTGCATAAAGTTTTCAATTCACAGAAATAAAACTATAGAGTCTCCAAGATTGTAAATATTTCTTCTTTGTGGGTTTGAATTTCCAACCTTGTAGCTAGCAGTCCAATGCTTACCTAACAACAACACCAGCGTTCCTTAGGGCAACAAAAATACTATTGCATGCAATACTGTCATGCAATGACAGCAACAACAATAATTTTTGATAGTCAATTTGAACAGAGGTGGAAAGGTTAATCAGACCTACACCTACAATCAGTCATACATAGGACTGAAAAAGGATATTTCTACATATTATTTATATGCACTACAATTATATCCATGAATATAGTTAGATCACACCGGGGACAAAGTTATGAAAATATACTTTTTAGCCAACCAAATACCTTGTGGGAATGAGTCTTTGGGTCTGAGAACTCACAACCAGAGCTATATGGGACTTCACAGTTTATTTGCATAACAGTCCACAAATACTTTCTTCCACAGCCTACTCTTGTGAGTCATGACTGAGGTTTTAAAAACTCGTGAGTGGCCATCTAAGGTGAAACTATTGGTTTCTCCCCTTCTAGGCCAATGAAGAGTAAAGAAAGCCAAAGACACAGGGAAAATGAGTCTGCAGGACTAGTGGACCACCTGACACCCAGCCTCCACAACCTTGAGACCATAAGAACTACCTGGTGCTCAGCTATCACTGGTAACCATTCTGAAAGGGATCACAACAGGGTCCTAGATAGAGTGGAGACAAAGGGTAGAACAATTTTCAAAATAATAAATAAACCAGGCTTACTGTTCTGATACATAGTGTAACACTTAGCAAACCTGGTAAGACAGAATTGATGTGCCCTATAGGGTTTCCTAACCTGTAATCTTTAGAACAACAGATCACCAGGTGGGTCCAAATCATCAACTTTTTGCCAAGTTTAAGTTAGACCTTTAACTGTGCTCCTGGTCTGGTTGAGATTGGTGAAATCCCTGAGACTAGGCCCTTAACTACCCTTCATGTCTGGAACTGAAGGCACCCTCGGGGCTCTAACTTCAGCCAAAAGAGAGGCCTAAGGTAAACAATGGGGCACACACCCCTAAGAACAACCAATCATAGAAGAGCAACAGGACAGCATTTTCCCAGGGGAACTCTCAGAAGTCAGGAAGGAAGAGAAAAGAAGGACGAATGGAAGTGGAAAGCACAGGAAAGAAGTGGGAAGAGTACAGTTCATTGTGGGACTCACAAAATGAAATTTGTTTGAATTGTCAAGTGGAAAACTTAGTTCTCTGAAACCACAATAGAAAGTATACTTTTTAAAGTGTACTTTTCAGTAATTTTCAGTATATTCAAAGATATAATACATTATATCACCACAATTTCTTTTTAAAATATTTTCAATACTACCCCCCCAAAACCCTGAACATTGAATTTTACTGAACCCTGATTCCCCCACTTCAACCCCAGTCCCAGACAACCATTAATCTACTTTCTGTCTCTATGGATTTTCTTTTTCTGATATTTCACATAAATGTAATCATATAATATGTATTTTTCCCATATATATAATATGGGAAATGGTTTTCCATATAAAATGGGGCGGGGGAGACTTGAAGAATTGCTCCTCTAAATATCATCGCCTACTCTGCCCTCTAGGGTCACTGTGAGTCTGAATTAAGAAGGAAAGCGGTCACCATGGTGGGTACAGCTAGTGTCAGAAGTAGTAGAGAAGTCGGAGAGCAGAATTGTGTCTGACTCCATAGGAATCAGCTTTGGGTTGATCCTCATTCTTAGCGATAAGGAATGTCGACCACTTCTGGCACTGTGACTACTACAACCCACAAGATCTTCCTTGGCTTAGCTATTAAAGAGTTTTACCATGCAAACCTGAATATAAGAAGCAAGCAAGAAAAATCACCCTCATTAAGTGATGAATGAAGGAAAAGGCAAAATAGTGCTTAGACATGGACACAAAACCAATAAAATACATATGCAAAATACTGACATTTAAATTGAAGTTTCTCACACACAGAAAGAGACAAGCAGGCTGACAGACTGACAGAAAACCCCAGAATTCTCAAGGCAAACATCTTAAGTTACAGAAGCTCTTAGCTTATTTATTTTCCGCATTAGGTACTGCACTCAAAGAGCCTTAATGCAGTACATTGAAGATCAAAGAAGATTTGTTCCAAGGAAAAAGTAAAACCACAAAGAATCAACTATTCCAAATATACGTATGTTCTGAGTTGTGAATATTTCCCATCCTTTAGTACAGGAAAAGAAATTAAGGACAAGAAAGATGTAGGTGAAAGGATCGATTGTTCATGTATCATTGTCAAGAAAAAGAGGTCAAATTCCACATAATGTTAAGCTGCAGCTTTCAGAAATTAAAATGATCAGTTGCTCCCTTTCTTGAGACATCGTTTGCTATGATCACAGTCAAGAAATTTGTACAATAAAAACAACATATTGACAACCTAGATACCAACGCGTTTCATGAGTCTCCGATATCACAAAATCTTTTTTTTAAAAACATTTTATTAGGGGCTCATACAACTGTTATCGCAATCCATACACACATCAGTTGTGTAAAGCGCATTTGTACATCATTCTCAAAACATT